TATAAATTGATATATTGTTAATTCAATAATTTTATTAACGCGAACAAGTTCTTAAAGTTATTAAATTAAGTTATTATCCTTCAGATACCTAAAACCTTGCTATACGTGTTGAAGTCTATTTTTCAGTCGGTAGACTTCATAATCGACTCGTATAACAATAAGTCTCATTACAGCAATTTCTAATGAAGGGTGTCAGCAAATGACAATATTATTAATTTTATTGCTTTTAACAGAGAATGGAAAGGTTATGGGTAGATTAAGTTTGTATAATAAATGAGAGGTCAAAGAAATCAATCTGATATCAGGATCAATATTAAGATAACTTTCAAAAAGCCTAAAATTTAGGTGTACGAATTAGAGTTTTTTGATTATTGTAGACTTTAGTGTCAGCATAGGTAAAAAAGATATGTCTATTGGCTGATATGAGTTGTTCACAGTACATAGTTCTTTAAGCCAAAGCATTAGAATAAATTTTCTTTATAATAATTGATTAAATTTAATATATATAGGTGTAAATTCACCTTTAATTTCATCATCATAGAGTAGGTAAACGTTAAAACTAAAGTTCATCTTGTTAAGAAATAATAAGAATGCTAAAATCCAATCTTTAAAAAGTTGTGAATTAAAATGGGACCATTTATGAAAAGGAGATGCTAGGAGCCATTCTGCGATTTGTAATTGAAGTAGTCTAACGTCTAATATAATACCAATTAGTTCTTTATCATTTGAAATGTTATGGAGAATAGTAGTTTTATCTTGTAGCTAAGCGTCAAAGGGTGAGTGATACAAAAAGTTGTAGAGTATGATTGACCAAATGAGTATAGTATATCATGTGAAATGGTTTTGTGTATATTTTTATTATACCAAACAGACCTAACATAACCCTAAACTAACCCTAACTTACTAATATTAACGTTAACTCCTAACAATTAAGTATAAAAAAGGTCATACTCAACATCAATTATATATCATATAATACTCAATTGATCGACCATACTCTACAACTTTCTGTCTTACCTTCAAAGAGTTGGGTTACATTGTATAAGAGAAGGAATGGAAGTTAGATATCAGTATATCTATGGATAGAAAGATTTTAGATTTAAAAAGATATTGTATTGTACTTATAATTTTGTTATAAAATTTGTGTTCTAATATCGTGATCTGTAATTTATATAACAATTGAAAAAGGATAATAATGTTGAAAATATAGATAATTGGTTTTCTGTGAGAACATTGGGTATTATAGTTCAGACTGTAGTATAGATCTTTTGGTATGTCTGTTATTATATAAAATGTTTATTGTGTAATATAGAAATCCAAATTCCTATATATCTAATTGAGGAATTATATTTAACTGATATAAGATTGATTGGTAAAGAGGGAAGTTGAAAGTAAACAGTATTTTAGTTTTTGAAAGTTGTTAATAGAGTGGATTTGATCCAGTTAATTTTAACAAATTAAGGGTATAAAATTCATCTATGATTTTCATCAATTTATTTAAAGAATTTTTAGACTGGCTGATTTAAAAGATGTCATCCATATAAGCTAATGCTAGAACATGAATATTAACATGACGATGAGGAGAAACAAAATAATGTTGAAAGAGAGTATTCACATGAGGATGATATCTAAGATCAGAGTATTGAATCCAATATAGAAGCAGGTCAAAATAAATACACTAAGAATAGGTGAGATAATCTTCCCTGATCGATTTCTAAAAGAACAGAATACATTTTCAAGATATCATATGTTATTAAAACTTGGTTGAAGTAAAAGTAAACAAAGATGATATTAGCTCAATGAGTAGTTTTAGCCTTAAAAGTGCCTTATAAAGCATTCTAAAGTTAATCTTATCATAAACTTTTGACATGTTTTGAAACAAGATCTAAAGATGATTATGATGAAACTGAGCATCTTTTTTATATGGTCTAATATATGGATTGGATCTTTTGTTGAGTGATATAGGAGTCTAGCAAAATTGTAATTTTAGAGAGCTTGATGTTTGGATAAAATATTTAACAGTCTATTATTTATAAGTTTTATAAGTGTCTTCCTTGGACATTCAAATAACATAATAGGTTTGATGTTGTTAAAGTCATATTCTCAGAGTTTAGGCTTCAGAACTGGATATATGAGTGCTATATTCCAATTAGCTGATAAGAGAGAAAAAGCTATACAGAAGCTATACATCTATAGATAAAGGTCTATAAAATTTTCTTGTATCAGGTCCTAAGTTTTGTAGTATTTCATTCAATATTTTAGAAAGTCCTGGGATATTGTTGATAAAAAGTGCATTAACAGTATTACAAATGATATTAGATAGCTAAACATTTTTTTAAACAGGTTGAATATAAAGCCATCTATATATTTGAGGCTTTTTTTTCCAATTGTATTAAAATATTTAATTTTAATAATAATTCAAATCATTTTGCATTTGCTTTTAATACATTGGTTGCAAAAAGGATGAATATTAAACCTGGTAAACATGCATCAAAAATGCATAATACTTTTTGGGATTCAAATAATGAAAGATAAAGTATGAAATTTTTCTGATGGTTAGCTAAAAGGTATAAAATAATAGGATTTGATTAAATAAGGATTGTGAAAAAAAAATATGATAAGAGAATATAAATTTAACCAGATTTTTTTAGTCAGTAATCTTGCATTGGTTGAAACAATTACAAATGCTGATCATATTTGTATATTTTTTCCAAAGTTTATACGTGAAATAATTGTGATTATACATGAAATGGATTACAAAAAATGGTTTCTTGTATTTTAGATTCTGTAAATTTAATAACCATTCATAGGTTTGCAAAGAAAAACATGGTAATACATGGATTCATATAGGCAGTAAGTTGGCGAAATATGCTATTAAAAAAAATACAAATTGCACAGAAAAATAAAATTGCAATCGATAAATCATGTGACAAATTTGATTCACGTGGTAGTTTTTAATTGGACATAGTCACGTGATATATTATGATTGGAAAAAAAAAAATTTCGGACTTTTAGGAACATAGCAACATCTTAATACATTACCGAGTTATTGGTCAAAATAATTAATCCGCTCTGTTAATTTCTTATATATTTATTTATTATTATTATTATGTACGATTTTTCGTTTTATATAAATAATACCTTTTAAATATTAAATAACCAAACAATATAATTCTAGATGTCCGAGAATAACAAATGAAAAAAAATTATAGGAATAATATCACATCTGTTTCTATAAAGAACACGGCGAATGCTTGTAGATTAATTATTTTTGACACGCTTTTTTTTTTCCTCCAATCAAATTATTTTATATACAGTCATTTTAGTTTAATATTCATGGAATAATTAAGATGAATAAAATATTAATGATTACGGGACAACGATTTCCCATTTTGATTGTAGAAGAATTTCGAAACCAACAGTAAATCAACTTACGCTATTGGTTTGGGCATACGATCGGTTGATCGTCTTAATATGCTCAAGATTATCTCAACCTACCTACCACCAACTTATTATTTCGTTCATCCAAACCTTTCAATTTTGAAAATTACGCTTGGATTATTTTTTGAACTTCTGGTGTATCGTGACTAGAATTGTGCGTAACTTGTGGTTCGGTCACGAGTTCTCCCCCGCTTCACCTTGTAAAATATTGATTTCAACTGATGAAGTTTGTGTTGAAGTTGATAAGTCAACAATGGAAGGCGTGACTGATGAGATATTATAAATCTCTAGAACAATATTTAATAACTTCTCGGGATCAACTTCCATTTCATCATTACTATCTAGAGTGTGATTGGCAATAAATTTAACCGCCGTATGCAATTGTCTTTTCTTCTCATTTCTTGCCTTCATTTCATCCATAGCAATTTGTCTCCTTTCTTCATCTAAACACAAAATATCTTTTGGATCAAAGGTAAGATCGTGATTCTCACTTGGAGGACATAATGAAACTTCAGAATGTAAAGATCTTCCACGTTGGATTAATTCTTCACTTGAGACAACGTTCCCTAAAAGATCCAAGACTGGTAAATCCATAAAATTTGGCAATTGACCTTCGGGTAATCCAGATAAAACCACATCTTCTTCCATTAAAGGTACACCAAAAATATCATTTGGACGAGGTTTTCCCTCAACAAGACGAATATGGGTTCCTGATTCAGCATGATTAGTAGAAAAACTCATAAAATTTTCATAGTTTGGATAAAGCATAACATATCCACGAAGATATACAAGTTCTATTAAAAATCTTTTCCAAGACTTTTTCCATCCGTTTGATCGAGTTTCCGGAACTGTAATATTTTGAAGTTTCAATCCATTCCAATCTTGTAATCTTGCAGGAAAATAATCATGAAACTCGCGCCATACTTCAGGAAAATATACAGCACCCCAACTACATGGTACCTGCCATAGATATGGAGTTCGAGAAGGATAATTTGTACCTTCAAGAGAGATATCGGGATTGAATGGTCTGCGTCCTAGTGGGTAAAGCTCATTAATCTTTGATCCATAATAACTAATTCCATACATACGACTACTGTGAGCACGTTCAGGTCCATATCTATATTTGAGAATACTGTATTTTGTCCACATATAAAAATATGGAGAAAGTTCAACATCATCTTCTAACAACACAGTATAGTCATGATCATCTTTAGGATAATAAGATTCAACAACAGCGGCCATTAATCCACCTTGCACTATACGATGACGAATATTCTTTTGTCCAAAAGGCCATTCTAAAGTACGACAATATTCTTTTGTTACCGGATCTGCACCTCTATCCATATTAATCGTGAGTGATATCTCATCACCGAAATATTGAGAAAACTTTAGAGATCGAACAAGACGCGCCAATGAGTCTGGACGATCTTGTGTAATAACTTGCACTTGGACTTTAGGGGTGTTCCAATCTGTTAAAAAAAGTAAGAAAACGCTTCACTTTTTTTTTTCTTTAAAAAAAAGGGAAAACAAATATATAGACGTACGTTTTAATGCCTCGATTGGTAAATGTGTTAACCAAATCAAATGTTCAGCATCTTCGATCGGAACCGATATACCAGTAACACCTAAATAGGAGGCTGCAACCAACGCAGAATCAATTCCTCGTATAGCATAATTTTCTTGATCTTTAATATATAATAGAACATCTGGTTGAATTTGATTTAAAAAATGACTTGTTGCTTGAAAAACCAATTCCAAAACACCAAATTTATTATTCGTTTTAATGTCTAAATCATAAATTGATACTTCACAAGAAGAATTTTTCTCATTGATAAGGTTTTTTAAACCCGTTTTACTTAAACCACGTCCCTCGCCCGTCACTATCACATGAGTATTAACGTTATTATGAGATGATAGTTGACAGAAAACGGGTTGTAAACTTAAACCTTGTTTTTCTCCATCGATCAGTATTATAATATTGTTAGATTTATCTTGTTCTAAATTTATATTTATAAATTTGTGTGTATAAGTACGATCTGTATTTTCATAAAGGCTTAAATATGTAATAAAGATGAGGATTATTATGGCCGTAAATATTGTAAATATTCTAATTAATTTCGGAAACGATATTAACCGCAAGGAAAACCAAGTGGTTTGAACCTGTTTTTGATAGGACAAAACATATGGCGAACGCTCTCGTACCATTTTAAACTGGTTTCTTATTAAACCAGAAAAAATTATTAAAGAGAGTTTAAGAGGGGGTTTTTTTTTTGTTTTTTTTTTTTTTTTGACACGAGTTTTTTTTGATAAACCAATTTAACACAATATCCATAAATAGCTAAGCATAAATTAAAAAAATGTGTATTCGGCCAAATCACCATAAAATTTAGTAAACAAATGAAAAAATTAAATCTTTACTATGTTTGGAAATTTTCAATGCATTAATGTACGTTTTATTTATTGTTTCATGTATAGGAATAATTAAATTTATTTTTTTAGTTTCCAAAAAAAAAAAAAAAATTTTTTTTTTTCCTAAAACAAAAGGATGAAAAAAAAAATTACAAACAAGTACAAACAAAACATATGGTACAGAAAATAAATGTAAAGGAGGTAAAATATTTTTTTTGGTGAGGGTCTTCAAGTTGTGGTGAATGTTATGCAAATGTCCTTTTTCCACAAAATTTCATACGTCTATACTTTTTTCATTCACCACCACGCGAAAATGCTATTTACAAAAAAAAGAAAAGAAAGAAAATAAAGATACAAATTAAAATCCTGCAATCTGCAAACAATGATACCTCAATGCTAAATGACGTGTATGTACCGTGTTACGTTACAATTTACATCTTTCTCAATATGTACAAATCACCCCATTAACTACACTAATACGCACAGGTTGAGTAAATTTTAAATGAGTGTACGTCTTGCAATGCAACCCGAACGTATTTGTGCATTTAAACAATTTTTTACTATGGTATCCCATCATCTCCAGATCGACCTCTCCTTCCCGAATTGATCTGATTTAATGCCATCACCATTGAATTTCCCTCGATTTTATTACCACCAATTATACCCGCAAAGCTCGGTCTTCTGTAGTCAAAATCAAAATCTTCATCCTCTGTAAATTCTGCAGCTGAATAATGTCCAATAAGTGGCAAGGAACAATCTTCTCGATCAGAAAGAATCGCATCCAATATTACGTCGTCCTCTTCCACTGCTACATCACTATCTTTGTTAAGTTGATAATGTTGTTGTCTTCCTAAAGTGTTGGGATCCTGCACGCTAGCGATTTCTTCGCTTCCATTACGGCTATTATCGCTACCTGTAAAAACCGACGAGGATTGATCGTCACGCTCTTCCTCCTCTTCTTCCTCCTCTTCCGAGGACATTTCAGATTGTTCGACTTCCCCTTCACCTTTGTCTTCTAGGCTTCCACCCGTTACACTGGTACCTTCAATGCTTCCGCTATTTGTGCTAGTTAAGGAATTCTTTCGTTCTTTCGTGGGTAAGTTTTCAGAAATGATTGATCTACGTCTCATTTGACCAGGACGATGATGATTGCGCCAATCATCATTCACCGGTTGAAGATCCTCTTCATCATCCTGTTCTAAAGGTTGAAGATGTTGTAATTTAGGAGATGGTGGTGAGGAGAATTGTTGAGAAGGTTTATGTGAAATAGGCTTTGGATGTAAAATTTTTTCCTTTCGCTCATTTTCATTATACTTTGCTTTGCGTAACTCTTTTTCTAATTCTTCAATCTTAATTTGTTTTTGTTTAAGGGTCGCACGTAAAAGGCTGACCGTTTTTAAATGTTTTTCTTCCAATTGTTTTATGGTAGAAGTTTTGTCGGTTTCTAATTGTTGAAAGGAGGATTCAACCTTTTGAGTATTTTCTTTGGATGTGATTAATTCATTCTCTAACTCAATGATTCGATCGTTCAATTCTGTCAACTTTGAATAATTGGCAACGGATTCATTATCAGAAATACATTCTTGCTTGGATTCAGCGGAAACCGATACATCATCCCTATCCTCCATTGAACCTACTTTGCGAACATCCTCAAGATTAATACGATTCAAATTTGCAGGTTCGATAGCTCGACCTGCCATTTGATCGCGTAATGATTGATTCTCTTTCCTCAATCTATCAATTTCTTCCTCCTCTTTTTCTAATTGTTCCATAGTTTCCTGAAATGTCTCTTGTAATTCTTTTCCTTGTTCCTCCATTAAAACAACTTTATTTGCCCAAGTTTGCATCTCTTCCGTGAATTTTGAAGTGGATTCGCGTAAAAGTTTATTTAATTGTATGTTAGCCTTGGCCTCCTTTACCAATGCATCTTGAAGGGTTTGTATATCACTTTCGAGAGTATTTAAATCATCTTGATGATTTTGTTGTAATTCTTTTAACGTTTGCACCGATGTATCGTAACCATTTTGTATTTCACGTCGTTTTGTACGTTCTTTATTAAGAAGGTATAAAAGGTTCCTAATTGTTGAGGCCTCATCAGGATAATTATTAACCGGGGAAATCTGTGGTGAATTTTGTTGCTGTGACATTATTGGCATCGAACTTCGCTAAAAGATTTTTTTTTTTGATAAAAAAAAATGATGATATAAATGGTAAATATATATAGAATTCATACAAAGAAATTCCGATCAATTCCAAGTATGGAAATGAGGTTAACCATTTTTAAAGAATTCAAAAAAAAGGAGAATTAACATACGTGGTTTGGTTTAAACAGTTCGTCGTCGGTTTCCCATTTACGTGTGTATCTTCTCCGAGAAGGCGACACATTATTACTCTCGTCTTCATTTATCTCCATTCTTTCCATTCTTTTGTTCGAAACATAAGAAAGTCCATACGTGGAACCAATCCTTCTATGGTTGCTTTCTGATAACCGTCTTGACCTTCTTGACGTATAACTATCACTCTCTTCGGCTTCGTCAAAGGACGAAGTGTAGTCATGGTGATAGGGTCTCGACGTGCGTTTGGTGACGCGAGAGGTCGTGGTAATAGAAGAGTTATTATTATAATCCGTCATTGTAACAGTACAAATGAGCGGTATTTATTAACATTCGTGGTTACTTATTACTTTTTTTTTGATTATTTCCAGTTTAGAGGAACTGACACTAAAACTTTTTACTTTTATTAATAAAAAAAAAATTTATTAAGATTTCTATTTTTTTTTTTTTTTTTGGGTGACCAGCTCCCGTTATATTAAATATATTTCTGCTTTTTTGAATATTATTTATTAAATTTTATTAATTTTCTATGGGTTTTTTTCCAAAGGAAAAATAGCAATTTGAATATGTAGTCTATAATTTTTTTTTTTTTTTTTTTTTTTGCGCCGAGGAACTATTCTATTTATACTAGTACCATGTTGTTTAAGGAAAAAAAAATGAGAAAAAAATTAGAGTTCGGCTGAATGACTGGTAAATTTATAAATTTATTTTATTTATTTGGTGTGTATAAATAATTACTTTGAAAGTACTTTAAGGTAGGTTTTTCAAGTGTGTGATATAAAGAACCGAGTGAGTGCAATTGAATGTGTCCTGTATGTAATATGTGCAGCTCAGTCTGTGCTTAATTTATTTTGTGAAACATGTCAGGTAAACTTTTATAAAAATAAATTCGGTTTATATTTTTATATTATTTATAACAATTTTATTTCTTTTTGGTAACAATTAACCCCACCAAAAACTCAAAACAAGAAAGTGAGAATTTCTTCAAACTCAGGAAATTTAAACCCTTTCGGATGTTTTATTTTTTTTTGTAATGAAACGAAACCCATTCATTTTTATTCTTCATAATTGTCAACAATGATTTCAAATGAATAATGTTTTTTAAAAAAAGGTATTTCTTAACAATACTCAACCTCGCATTTCGTTTCCGTTTGTTACTTTTGTGTCACCAACAAAATGAAACGAACTATACAAAAGAGAGATATGCCGACTGCATGAAAATTTGCTAAATTAAGAAACCTTTCCAGTCTTACCTTTTTTTCTTTTTGATTTTTCCTTGATGATTAATTAATTATTTGTTATTATTATTATATTACTTTTACCAAAATAAAATAAAAATTTGTTCGCATAACGCTCGAGAATTCTTTAAAGAAAGAGAGAGAGAGAGAGAGGGGGAAGGATGGAGAGAAGGGACGTGAGGTTTCAAATCCTTTGTTTGATATAAGGTTTTTCATCTATCTTAGAGACACCTATTTTTACGGAGAACAATGAACGTTGTCTAATCACCTATAAATATGGTAATTTTAATTGTGTACGCGACGCACAAATAAATTTCAAATAATAAAAAGAAATGAATTATTTTGGATACTTTTCCCCCTAAATGAATAATTTTTTTTTTAGAAATTAAACTGTTGTACAATCAAGGAGTTTAATCTAACAATCAAAATCTTTCTTTCTTTCTTAAATTACCAAAAAAAAAATTTTCAACCATCTCAAAATGTAAAAAAAACACGAAGGTCAACCCCCAAAAAAATTTTAGGAAACGAAATGTTTTTTTGTCTTCCCGTGTTCCCTTTGACTTAATTCGGTAACTTGTGATGGATACACACACCTTTCGTTTATTCAATGAATCATTTTTTTTTCTTTTTCTCTTTTTGAACTTTTTAAATGAGATGCCCCAATCCCTATTTCAAAAGAGTCGAGCCTTGTTTATTAAAGTGTGAGAATAATTTCATAGTGTATAACAAATATTACATAGCGAAGTTAAGTTTTCCGAAATCTTCATGATATCTCTTTAAAATCTTCCCGTATCTTTCCCAATGTTGGTAATGATACAAAGGGGGAAGGGAGAATTTGTTTCGTTGATTCATTTAATCCATTGATCCTTTCTGGATTCGTAAATAATAATAAAATCTCCTTTTCGTGTTTTTAGTAAAATCTATTAGATGCAAATGGGTTATCATTACAGTCATTAGTTTTTTTTTTTTTTTTTTTTTTTTTTTTTATATTGCTTGCTTCGTTCACTTCGGAATCAATTATAACAAAAAATTCCACCTTAACCATTTCAGATTTTCGTATGGGGTGAGGTTTATCATCTTTAGAAACTTCAAAACTTCTCATACAGACGATTAGACGATTTGATGAACACCGATATGACACGTGTTGCAGCACATGTTATTTTAAATTCTTTAAATTCAATCCCAAATAAGAATTTGTGATGATTTACGTGATTTCTCAAAAGATGAAACGTTTATCTCACCCTTTGCGAAGTTTGTTTCGGCTTAGTTTTTGATGTATAATTTTTTTTTTTTTTTTTGACCATCCTATAAACGGTTGACAAGCCTGGCAATTGGTAACCTCTGGAAATTGACCGTTTAAACGTCTGCCACTTCAGCCCCCCCAAAAAATAGTTCAGCCAAAGTAATAATCAAATAAAAAATACAAGTAATTTAGCCGTCTTAAACGCAGTAAAAATTGCATGTCGATTATGTCAAATTGTCAACCGAAACACCCTAAGGAGAAAACAGACTTTCATCCAAATATTATGACATAACCCAAACAGATTTCCCTACAAATTAAACTCTAAAAAAAAAATATTTTTTTTTTCCCATTTTCTAATTGTTTTTCTCTTGTTGAAAAAAAAAAATGTTTGGGGTCCAAATCCTCTGAGCATCAATGTTTTTTTTTTTTTAACAAATGAACTTAAATTAGGGAATTATGAAGAAAATTTTATGCCCGAAGGAAGCACGTCGCTTATCAGTATAAAATCAGACAATTCAAAAATTGTTTTATTTATTTTTTTAATAATACTCTTTTTTTTATAATCTTTCTTAAAAAAATATGAGATGAGACCATACAAAAAAGAATAATCGCGGTGATACAATACAATCTTTAACGAAAAAGAAGGAAAAAATTTTTTTTTCGTCTAATGGAAAGAATCTATCTTATCCATCCTTTTTCTTTTCCTCGGGCAACCACAACTTCATCTCGGGAGGCAGTTCATCTTCAGCATAAACCCTATCAGCAAAATAAACCCTTCTCAACCTACAATTCGCATGTATTTGTACCCTTAAAGTTTCAACATAATTTGAATTAAATGCACGACGCGTAAAATCGGCCAAATTGAATTGAATCTGATTCCAGCCTTCATCCATTCTCAATGGCATGGTACAAATATAAGGTTTGACGCGCGTCGTCGGCTTAAAAATCAGTAAATAAATCAGCAAGGTCCCCCCATTTTCCATTCACAATGCATGAAAAAAATTGAAAATTGTTCTCGTCAAAAGATACCTGAAAATTTGAAGCCCTAAATATTCTTTTGATGTTCTTATCGTCCATAATTTGAACTTCAAAAGTGAAATATTTCTTAAAATTTTTTACCACGAGAACGAGGATTGGTAATTTAATCCCGAGAGTACGGTTAAGTTGAGAAGGACAAGTCACATAGGTAGACGTAATATCTGGCGAAACTATTTCTATGACGGGAGATTTTATGTCGTCATCTGTTACACGCGAGACATGGCTTTCTTCGTTTTGGGATTTCGTCTCTGTATGCCATATTTGAAGTGGTTTATTGCTACAAAAAGGAAAAAAAAAATTCACTCGTTATTTTTAGCAAGTTGTTCCATAAAAAAAAAATCTTTTCCTAGTTAGATATATATTTATATATTTATATTTTTATTTTTATTAAAAAAAGAAAATAAAAAATAATGATACTTTTTCCATTTATATTGTCAGTTAGTTTATCTGGTAGGTAATTAATAGATTATTTGATTAAGAGTCAAATGATAAAAAAAAAAAAGCTTGCAGGTTTCTTCGATATATTCAAAAAGATTAAATATAAAGATATCCAAGTCCTTACCCAAGACTATATAAAATCGATAGAAATCCGGACTAAAAAAAAAAAAGAATAAATTCATTAAATTCATTAAATTGTAAATCGTGTAATGAAGTAACAGGGTATATTATTTTTTTTTCAAAAAAAATATATACCTGAAAAGTGTTGCGAAACATTTTTATTTTTTTTTAAAAAAAAAACCTATTCTTTAAAATAAATAATAAAAAAGAGAGGGTGAATAAAGTTTTCGGAACATTTTTAACGTTTTTTGTCCGATCGATTTTTTTCTGCAATCCGCAGCAGATCACACCTATCATACCGACGTTTGATGAATCTAATCAAATATACCGATAAAAAATTATCATCAAACTTCTAGGATCCGTATAAATAAGAGCTTTAATTTCTCGATCGTTTTTTTTTTTTTTTTTTAATATTATTAAAAGAAAAAATAAGAAAAAAAAAATATAAAATCATGGCGCAATTACCTTCTTATAAAGATCGTAACTTCATAGCTATTATCGGTGATGAGGTTAACATAACTATATATATATATATTTTAATTTGAATCCGTTTTCGTTAAACAAGATTTTTATATTATTTATTTATGCTGATAAATTTATTTGTTTTCCTTGTTATTTAAAAAAAAAAATAGGATTCGGTGACAGGTCTTTTGCTGGCTGGAATAGGTCATGTCAACGGTCCAAAAAAGAATTTTCTCGTCGTTGATAATAGTAAGATAACATTTTGATTTTTATGTTTCGATTTTAATTTAATGTTTGACCATTTTTTTTTTCTTTTAGAAACCCCTATATCAAAGATAGAAGACACTTTTGTCGAATTCACCAATAGAAAAGATATTGCGATCGTTCTTATCAATCAACATGTTTGTATCAATTACCGTACCAAACATTAGATAGATGAGATAATCAAATGTTTGAATTAAATTAAAATAAACCCAATAATTTTATTTATATCCGCATCCATCTTTAATTAAGGTCGCCGATGACATTCGTCAGCTTGTAGATGATCACGATCAAGCTTTTCCAACAGTACTCGAAATTCCATCTAAAGATCATCCTTATGGTATCATAAGATTTTATTTGTAACCTCTTTTTATTCGTATGATTCATCATTTTAATTTGTATTCTCGTTTTCATCAGATCCCGAGAAAGATAGTGTTCTTAAGCGTGTACAGCGTCTTTTTGGAGAATAATAATAATGATGATAATAATTATAATAATAATATTTAATTTTTTTTTTTATGTACATCAACCGTTTTATATTTAAATTAATAACAATACTTGGAGGACATTTTATTTGGAATCATTGTAATTTTATTAATTTTATTGCAAATTATATAATAAATAAGTTCATTTGTCAACCGATCCTTTTAATTTATTAAATATTATATACAATACAATCTATTTTAATAAGGAATACATACAATATATATATTTATTGATATATAAATATATTTTTAAGAAACAAAAATCGTAATTTATTCAAGTGGAATACCCGCGTATTCATCATAACCCAAGGCAAGATTCATATTCTGAATGGAAAGAAAAAAGGAGATTGAACTTGGGATTAAATTATTTTTCACAAAAAAAAAAAGAATTGATGGATTTATAAAAAGAAAAATTACCTGCAAAGCTTGGGTGGCGGCACCTTTCAACAAATTATCAATGGTAGCGACGACCACTACTCTTTTACCAGATGAATGTACACCAAATCCTCCAATCTTAACAAAATGTTTTTCGGAATTATCTTTTACAAGTGGAATATCTTCTACAACCTTGATGAGCTTTTCTCCCGCATATTTTTGTTCGAATAATTCTTTAATTTCCGAGGATTTAAAAGTTTTGTTCAAAGGAATATTGGCAGTTATATTGATCCCTTGAAAATATGGAGCAACGTGTGGGATGAAATTAACTGTCGTTCCTAATCGATGAGAAACCTCACGTTCATGAATATGATCTGTTAAAGCGTATGGTATTAGATTGTCCTTGAGGAATTCTGGATCATTTTTTGGTGATGGTTTTGTACCAGCACCCGAATAACCCGAAACTCCAAATACTGTCGGAGATTCTGATATAAATGGGACTAATGGAGCAATAGCAAGTTGTGAACCCGTTGCATAACAACCAGGATTTGAGATTCTGGTGGCTTTGGTTATGGCATTGCGATATCCGAGTTCTAAATGGATTAAAAGAGGAAATTCTTTAATAAACGAAAAAAAGAAATAACCCAAAACTGCTCATTTTTCACATACCAGGTAAACCATAAGTCCATTCATCAGTAAAACGATAATCTGCGCTCAAATCGACAATCAAACTTTTGCCAGCTTGACCTTCATTAACAGCTTGGACAAACGGTGCACAAACGCCATTGGGTAAAGCCATAACCCAACAATCGACCTCACCATTCTTTTGCATTTGCTTAACTTGTTCGGCTTTCAAATTGACATACGTAATGTCATCTTTTGTATACCCGTCCAATTTTTGACCTTCAAGCTCTCGGGAAGATACATGAGATAAAGAGAGGTGAGGATGAGTATTTAAAAGTGAAATGAGGTTCCTTCCGGTATATCCACGAGCCCCAATTAATGCGACCCTTGCTGGGCTTGTAGATGTAGAATATTGACGGCGCAATAAATTGGATGATGAAAATGCATTATTCTTGCTAGTAAAGGTTGAATATAATCGGGAATTTTTCGTGAACGCGTTTCCGGATTTTGTTGAAGAAGTGACGACTTGGTTAGATGCGAAATCTTTAATGATGTTGGTAACATCATCGATGTTCTCGATGCCATACCAGAACAAAATCTTTCCATTGCTGGTGTAGCTACCGTCAGATCTGTCAAAAAACCAAGATTTGTTTTCGTCATTTTCATCTGCAACCCAAGTTAATCGAGGGTAATCCTTTTGTATCATGGCCCAAATATTATCCGTTACATTATTCAAGACCCCATTTTTGGATGCGATAAATTTATCAAGGATTGGGATGGAGTTATTTCCTTGTGACACGATCGCCAACACTTCATAAGGTTCATCACTATAGATCGCGTGAGATTTCTTTCCAAGTTGTTGAATGTATGAAGATGAATCGGAAATAGATTGTTGTAAGATTTGTTGTAACTTTGCATTATCGGCTTCATTAACGGAATTATATTTAAAGAGTCGATATCCTCGACGAATCAACGTTCCGGCTCCATAATCTGTGAATAATTCTTTATGGAGTTGACCGGCAGAGGTGATTGCAACCGATGAAGAACGAGGCAAATGATCCAAAAGTTCCTTGATCTCTCTAATCTTCAACCTCGTACCATATTTCACCCATGGTTGTGCCATGTAATTTTCATATTCCTCATCAAGATTTATCACGTCAATCTTTTTATTGGTTTCACCATGTAAAAGACCACCCTTTTCACTAAGGTAGATGATCTTTAATGGTTCTAAAACTCTGGCCAATTCTCCAGCAGCCACGTCAGCGTTAACATTTAAAATCTGACCGGAAGGAGTCTCGGCCAAGCTAGTCAAAATTGGCAACGCACCGGAATTTACACTGGCTTCGACGACCCTCTTGTGCACACCGGTGATTTTTCCGACGTAACCGTATTTTTCCCTATCTAAATAGTCCGCGATGAACACACCACTAGGAATTGGTCTAGCTGGAGTACCTAAACGTTCTAATGCCTCAACCAACTTGAGATTTTCTTGCAAGAACACACCTCTTGCTATCTCTAAAGTTTTGGCATCCGTTACACGAATACCATCGATATAATTCGGTTCAACACCCGCCTCTTCCAATAATTTATTCATTTGTGGTCCGGCTCCATGTAATACAATTGGATATAACCCTACTCGATTTAAAAATGTTATAGATGATGCAAGTGTATCTAATTCATCTGATAAAACCGCTCCTCCAACTTTTATTACCGCGAATTTCTGTGATTCTACTGAAGAAAAGTGTCGAAGGTATTGCTCAACTTCTTTTCTTGAGCCTATATTATATAAAAGTCTTATAATGGTTTCCTATCGAATTATTATCATTATCATTTTAATAATAATAATAATAAAAAAAAAAAGTAACGACATTAATATAAACCGCAGCTTCAAGTTAAATAAATAAATTCATTTGCTTACTTTTTCATTTTTAGAAGAATCCCTTGTATAATATCGAATTTGTCGTGTATTATTATTATTATTTTTTAAAGTCGTTTGCCATTTTCTTTTAGGTAAAGTTGATAATGAACTTAAATATTTTGCTTTATATTTCAACGAAGAATAAGAAACGGTTTTTGAAAGTGAAGTAGAAGTACGAACTTTTGATATTAACATTTTGTATAATTTCAGAATTGAGAAATTGAAATAAAAAAAGGAATCAGTCTTATATTGTATAATAATTTTTTAGATTGATAATTCATGTAAGAAGATCAGATAACAAAAATTTGTACTTACATTTTTGAATTTTCATGCTAATTAAATTAGATCTAGGGTTTTACACGTTACACAAGATATAGATTGGCGAAATTTCCTTTTGTATTGTAAAATATAAAATTTCCCGGGTGATGATCACTAATATCATTTAATCCATCAAAAAATGATTTATGCATTACACGATAATTTGCAGATCATATGTAAAAGATATTAGATATCTTTTTTTTTTAATTGATTAATTATATACACACAAATAAGGTAAACAACTAATGGACAGAGTATTTTCTAGGATCTCACCGTAAAAATCATTCATCTGCATTTTTACGGTGTCCTTTTCGGTGATGTGCGTTTTTTACATGATCGATTCCTACAAGTCCATAAAGTAATTCAATTTCTTTATCATAATCTGAGAGTTCATCATCGGGTCCAACGGGAGTTTCTAGAATTAATGGAATTTCATTTAATCGATCATCATTCATTATCAAACGAAATGCCTCTAACCCCAAATATCCTTTTCCTATATTAGCATGACGATCTCGAAAGGATTTCAAATTGGTTTTTGAATCGTTTAAATGCATCCCTCGTAAATACTGAAAACCAATATGTCGAGAGAACTCTGACATGGTTTTTTCATACGCTTCGCGAGTACGTAAGTCATATCCCTAACAAGAAGAAATGAAGAATAAACATATATATATATTCCCAATTCGTTTTATTGGATGGAAAACGAAGATTTACCGCAGCAAAGGCATGACATGTGTCAATGCAGACTCCAACTCGACTCTTATCTTTAAGAAGAAAATATTATAATAAAAAAGGATGAGATTCAAACGGAGTGAATGAAAAAATTACGAGTAAAATTTCAAAATTCGTTTTTTACCCTTAACCCGTGAAATGATGTCTGCAATTTCCTCAAACCTCGATCCAATAATATTACCCGCGCCCGCCTTGCAAAATTTCAATTATGTTTCAGTACCAAAGCATATAAATATATACAATTATATATCGTATATATTAGGCTTAAATAAATATGAGCGTACCATGTTTTCGATAACACACGTTACGCTTGAAGTTTCTTCATGTGCTTTATTGATACAATCTGCAATATGTTGTATAGATTGTTCTTTTGTGCACTGACCAACTGTTGAGCCAGGACTTAAGATCAACGATTGAATCGTCATTAATGATGCAATTCTTTTTTTAAAGAAAATCGTATACTCGCATACTTACTGAAAATTATATAAAGTTAATCCTAGTAGTTCACAACGATTTAAATCCTCCAGAAAAGCCTGATAACTTTTCTCGCGTTTTTCTTGATCGGGATTACCTAAATTGATTAGATAACTCCCATGAGGCAAAATAAATTTTGAAGCGTAATTATGTTGTTTACAATTTTCTCGAAACGCTTTAATGTTCTCTGGATCTAATTTTGGCGCCGTCCATCTTCTTTGATTTCTCAAGAAAATTGCAAAGGCATTAGCCCTTTTTTTTTTCATTACAAATATATAACAGGAATATTAGTAATAATTTATTTTCGTTTAAAAAGTAGAAAACGCGCAAAAAATATACCTGATAACAAGACTATTGGTAATAGAATTTTGCACGCCACCTGAAATACTAACGTGTGCGCCAACGTATTTTGTAACGTTACTAAACCGTGTAGCGTACATGTCAAGAGGTATTTTTTGTTTGGTTTTGCGTTTAGGCTTAGGTTTCTGCATACGAAAAAGAAATATATTTGACTGGTTACTTATTATTTATTATTCAAAGCCACGTTTATAAGATCATTAAAACCTTTGTTTCGTTAGTGCTTTTTGTAGGTTTGATTTTAGGTTCTTTATTTCTTTTGGTTTGCTTCGTTTTCTTGGTTTCCTTAATAGATATAGTATCCTTCCTTTTGCGTTTTTTGGCTTTATCAGAACGCGTTCCTTCGTCCTTATCATTCCTTTCTTTCACTTCTTTTGTTGATACGGGAGACTCCTCTTTTTTGATTTCACGTAACCTTTCTGACCTTCTCGGTGTTGACATATTTTCTTCTAATCGATCAGGTTAAATCATCGTAATGAGAAGTAACTAAAAATTTTTGATCAACATCACACAACACATTGTAAGTTACACGAATTTCAATCGTCTCTTTAGAAATTATATAAATATCTCCAATTTTCCTTTTTGCTTTTTTTTTACAAAATGTAAAATCTTTTCTCGTTTAAGAAAGATAATATTTATTTATTTATTTTTATTTTTATTTTTTAAAAAGAACAAGGCATGTTAATTAAAAACAATGTAGAAAGGATATCCATATTTCCTAATAAATCTCTTCAAAAATATACAGAAATGATTCTTAAACAGATTGAATCTATAGAAAAAAAGTCTTTTCCAAAAAACGAAATCATGTCCATTAAGGAAGAAGTTTCAAAGAAAACCAATACCTTGTTAATAGTTTATCATGAAACTGACGAGATAAAAGAAAGGAAGTACCATAATTCATCAAATGGAAAAAATCTTTGCCTTAATAATCGTAAAGGGGATAATAATAATAATAATAATAATAAGGAAGAAATTTCAAAAATAATTATTGTAATTGGATATATTATATATTCGAATATTTCATCCTCGCAAATGCCAATCACGAGAATATTGAAATTTTGCATACATCCTTCTTATAGAAGGATTGGATTAGGAGAAAAGTTATTAAAGAGTGCATTGGAAAAGATGAATGTACCAAAGAGAAGCAAAGCTGATTTACATGTTGACATTGAAAGGGAGGCTGCAATTAATTTATACAAAAAAATTGGTTTTAAGGCGATTAAAAGAGTTGTAAATTATTATGAATTTGGAAGAGATGCTTGGTTAATGGAATTTCGTGAAGACGAATAAAAAAATAAATAAATAAATGAATTTTATTCAAAGTAAATCAATTTTTTATCTTGATTCCGATTTCAATTAATCTCATTAATTTCATTGTTACAATTATTTTATTTTATTAAACAACAAATATGATAGTAATGAAAAATTATTACAATCTGTAAAATTATAATTTTGCCTTCGGGATAGTGGCGAAAACTCCATCCAATTTGGTAGCCAACATCATATTACCTTTGATCTTAAGTTTACCAGACATAAAAGCCTTTTGACCTATAATTTTATAACAGAAAAGAAAAAAAAAAGATAAAAATTTTTTTCGACTTTGATGAATGAAAAAAAATAAATAATAATTTACCATTTATTTTCCCTGAAGCCAATTCAACAAAAGTATCATCAGATAAACTGATAGTAATGTCAGGTTTAGCGGGACCTTTGCCAACTTGTACTTTTCCATCTTTTTTAAGATCCAGTGTCCAAACTTGTTCTTTTCCTCCCTGATTTTTTACATTAATCTCAAATACTGCATTGACCTAAAGATGAAATAAATTTACATCAATTCCTTTAAATGATTTAACTTTGTTTTTTTTGTTTTTTTTGTTTTTGTTTTTTAAACTTATAAATACCTTCTTTATAGTTTGCTTTTTCTTTTCTTCATTATCAGTGATATTAACTTTAAGCTGTTCAAATATAAGAGATGATTTGAATCCGTCAACTTTTACAGACATTTTGATTTATTTGAAAAGAATAAAGAAAATTTTTTTAATTGCAAAGAGAAAAGAAAAAAGATTATTTTGAATTAAAAAAAAAATTATAACATTTATACATAACAACGAGTAGTATGCCGATTAAAAAGTTTAGATCTTGGATGATGATTGGATGTGATGTCGCAAAATATATTTACTAAAGATAGATAAAAACTTTGATCTAATCTTGACTAAATCAATATGCAAAGTTTCATTTTTAGAAAGAGATTGGAAATTGAACTTCAGAATGGCACAGTAAATATTAATTATAGCTTTATTTTTATTTGTTAGTTTTGTTAGTTTTAATTATTGTACATGTACATTAGAGAGAATCAATAAAATCTGATAACCTTTTTATTTTATTATTTAAATCGCTTTTTGGTGTAATAAGTAAAGTTGTGCATCATAACGAATTACATATACTGTATCTTGAAATTTATAAATATCCGATGAGTCAAAAGAATTATATTAAACATTTAATGTAACATATTCGTGGAGATCGACGATACAGTGATGATGTTATAAGTCACGTGAAATGCCAAGTAACTAGTTTTATTACAAGTATAAATGTAATTAATCTAAAATTTTGCAAAAATATATTTTTTAATACACTGAACAAGTTTACTTTAACTGAATCTTGTACTAAAACACGAAAATATTGTATAAATGTTTAATATAAATCTTTTGACTCATCAGATGTTATAAAAACTTCATGATATATGTAATTCGTTATTATACCAAAAGCAATTTAAATAAAAGTTAATTTGAAAGAACATTTCCGTCGATTTATTGATTTTTAAGTGTCTTGTGACTTTTGATACTCCACTGTACATTTAGAAATAATTTAAGAACGTGTGAAAGAAATTAACCTTATGCTAAGCTAAAAAGAATATATATATATATATCCTTTAATGAATGAGAGTTAGTATTCTATAGAAAACCAAACGAGTATAATAAAAAGATATCAAACCAGACTTTTTGTCTTATATTTACAAAGTGTTGATATTTTCCAAGTTCATATTCTTTGGATACTCGGCTTTTACGTTGATGATTGAATTTAAGAATTCTGTGATTTTTTGTCCGCTACAATTTTTGGTTACAAGAAAATTGGATGTTCCCTAATCATTTTTTTTTTTTTTTTTGGATAGCAACTTGTTCGTGTTTTAAACGTATTCTTATCTTTCAAATATCCACAACTTTCTTAACCAGTTTAGTTTTAAGACGGAAACTTCAGAAATTATTAGGGAGCTTCGATTTAATTCATTAGAGCTTCACGCGTCTTGAGAAGGTTTCATTAAAGGTCTTCCTTCTTCTTCCAATAATGTTCATTATTGTTCAGTTCTTGCTTCACTTAGTTTTGAATTATTAACATTCTTTGAGAGGGCCTAGAATGGTATGAGGACCTTCGGATTGAATATTTTCTTTTCTTTCTTTCCTTCTTTCTTTTTACCAATGGAAAGCCTTCATGTTGTTTTTAATGCTTCAAAACACGAACTTGATAATTTTCAATGTCTGAAATGCTACCCATGTTTAATATAACATGCAAAAAAGGTATGAGATCGATAGTAAAAAAAACTATATTACGTTTAGATTTTTTTTCTTTTTTCTTTTTTAAATTTATTCAATACCTACTTGGGAATATATATATCAAAAAGAAAGGAAGGGACAGGAACAAGCAGAATAACAGTAACAAAGTATAAAAAAAAAAAAAAATACATTAAAACGACAAAATGCCATAACCTTCACCTATTCTTATAAGAAAGTAATTGGCATCTTATATAACTTGAAAAGTCCATATTCGAAACTTCATTTTTTTCGAGTTTACATAATGTACTTGAGATTAGTTCTTCAGAAGGTTCACGGCTTTCTTTTTCGAAGATCTTGCTTTCGTATTCTTTCCTGATACACAAAAAAAAAAACAAAAACAATATCTATCACAACATAAGCCTCAATTAAAGCAAGAAAAATGAATTTAGGATTAAATCTGTCTTAATAACTCCCTATAACTTCAAAAAAAAAAGGACATGAAAATGAGTATTAGGTTATTAAAAATAAATTTACCATAGATGAGTTGAACCAATTTTTCAAAATTTGAATCTAATAACGCTTACTAATTCAATGAGAATAGCTTCGAGATCTTCTGGCACGACTATATGAATTTCTCTTCTTTGAATAACTACGACTACGAGATTTTCTTCTATCCCTTGACCAACTACGACTTTTAGAACGTGTAGGACTTTTTCTTCTAAAACGAGTAGGTGATGCCGAAGGTGTACGACGATAAGAATAAGAAGTACGATATCTTGGTCTATCGCCCATATATTCTCCAGGAGTGGGGGTATGCGGTCTTTGAGTCAATGAATAATCCACACGCATATTTCTACCATTGACTTCCTAAGAATAGTTAATAATACACGCAAGATACGCCTTTTAGTCATTAATATTTTCGAGAAACAATTTCATCATGTCTACATACCATGCCGTTTGTTTTTTCCTTGGCAATAGTTGATTCATCAATTGAATTCATGTAAACGAATCCAAATCCACGAGAACGATCGCTCTATAATTTCATATAAATAAATACATATTAGATTTTTTTTTTCTTTTCATAAAAGGCAAATCTTTGCTATATACCCACCCGATGATCGTATACAATAGTAACATTATTGACTCTTCCATAACGTTCAAATATATTTTGTAAATCTTTTTCAGTGGTCCTAAGACTCAGGTTAAAAACTCCCAAAACATGACTGGGCTCAGGTTCCTTTAAAAAATGTACTTTAGGATTATAATTATCAAAAAATAACAAGGCTTATCAATGTTTATAGCTTACATCTCTTCTGCTCGCCCTCCTTCTATCGCGACTCCCATGGCTTCTAATAGGGCTTCTAGAAACAATAAAAGTATGTTATATTTTTATATATATTTTTTTTTTGTTTATAAAAAAAAAAATCGAAACAAAACCAATTACCTTCTCCTTCTGTCTTTACTTCTTGAACGACTCCTACTTGAAGAAGTTTTGGAGTATGAACGACGCCTATGACGACGAGAAGAACGCGGCTTTCGTGGACTACGACTGCGTGTTCTACTGCGAGAAGCAGATCGGGGACGTGGTGAACGTGAATGTTGGGCTCGCGAACGAGAAGATCCACGTTCGCGTCCGCGTTCAGTTTCACCGTTTGATGGTAAAATTTCTTGCATGAGTATGTTCTGAACTAAAGTGAGTGGTGTAGTTTCTTTTTTTAATCGTAACAGAGACTTCTTTTGAAATGTTATCAAGAATCACGAAAGTTAAGACTTTTTTTTACTTACAACAAAAGGAGGAAAAAAAAAAAAAATTCAAAATATATAAATAACTTACAGTTACTGATAAGCTGTTCGATAATATGTCAACGATAATTAAAAAAAATAAAAAATAAAAATTTTTTAAAAAAAAAGAGTTGAATTGCAGCTTTACTAATTCAAACAATTCAAAGCTTCTTTTCAAAGTTCAGAATTGTCGATCCGCATGTCGTAAGTCTAGTCGTGATCTAACTTTAAGTTGTGCAACATTGCTGACGTCATAATAATATTTATAAAATCATGCTTGAAATTGATTTTGTGTTTATATGTTTGAGAATATAATAAAATATATAATATCAATTTAAATAGTAATACTTTTGCTAAGTTACACTTTATAAAAATACATTTTTTATGATAATAATATAAAAAAAATTTAAATAGATACTCTATGAATCTACTGTATATACACGATTGGGATTTAAAAGCTCAAGTATATCGAGTAAAGTCGATAACAGGTTCCAATCCCAACACTGTACTCATATCAACTTGATTATCATGTGATGTGTTACTTCCAGTTCGTTCCTTTAACCGTTTTATTTGCCTTAAACGATCTTTCCAATTAGATACATACTCTACATTTCTACTGCCTCCACTTTGTAAAAATACTTGAGCGAATATGTTTGCATGTAATGCCATTTGACGAACGAATGCTGGTAAAGCTGTCGCTGATACCATTTTAAATTCTGTTATTGGTCCAATTTCAGGCATATCTGAACGACGCTGCATTATAACCTTGAAGAATGAATTATTATTTGTTTTCGATGATTGTAAGGATGAAATGAAAAAGTCTTGATGAGAATGAGGGGAAATAACAATATTTATAAAGTTAAAATGACTTGGTAATGTATCAAATGCATATTCTTGTCCAGAATTGTTAAACACGATTGTAACAAAGTCATTGCCAATATGTCTCTTCTTTCCAGCACATTGAGGATCACGATCCAAATCTGTTGGCATCAAAGTAGCACAATGAAATATCACTTGAGTAATATCATCTTTCCAATAATAAGCGTATTCCCCATCTATGTCGTACTCTGTATCCAAACCTCCAGTATATACATTTTTACAATTTTTTAATCGAATCAAATTACCCAATTTATTCAGAAATTCTATATAATCTTGTGATCCATGAACATTAGAAAGTATTTCAATTTCATCAGTCTGATTTTTTCCGACATATAATACGCCAATCTTGTGAAAATCTACGACCGGCGTACGATCCAACACTGATAATGCACGATTTGTAGATTCTTCTTCTGGTAAAGGTCGAGGCGCCTCTTTAGATATGAGATCGGGATATGGAGAATTTTGTAAGAATAAAAAGCTTGGATTAATATGAGGATCATCCTTACGATACAGATTCTTATCAGCAATTGAACTTGCAGGATCAGCGAAAATTTCATTGATAACATGTTTTTCGTTTAATGAATTTGTTGTAGGTGATTCGTCAATATCATCATTTAAATTATTGTCGTTCTGATTTACATCACAATAATTCTCAGAACCCTGTAAGGCATCCGCTTGTAAATTAGTCTCACTATCATTTTCTGAAGATCCGGTATTAGAATTGGTCTCTAATTTTGAAGAAACGATATGAGGCGAATCGTTTGCTGATGATGAACTATCCGATTCTAAAGAGGAATTTCCATTTCTTTCATCCTCTTTAGTTTCTTGCGTTTTCGAAGGATGATATGTGTTCTCAGCATTAATCTGATGATGATTTACTCCTCCTCCTCTCATAGAATCATTAGTTTCTAATTGTTCAGAAGTAAACTCTATTGCACTTTCGGGAAGGGTAATAATATTCTGGGAATCAGGATCATAATGAGCCATTAAAGTTGCAGGCAAAGTTATGAAATCTGTATCTTCCATCTTGTTTCGATTTTCAACTTTACATAAGAAAGCTACACTACCAGATGGTCGACGAACTATAATCTCTGCCCATCCAAATGACTTCATTGTACGAATAGTTAAGAACGCATTCCCTTGAACCCAAGTACGAGATATTACTTTATCCTTTCCTTGTTCTAATAAAATTTGATTAATAAAAGATTGCTCGGGTTTAGGGTCACAATTAGCAAATGTATAACGCGCAAGCATGTCAAAACATGTTTCAGTTTGTTCGTCAACTTTTGGATTCGACCCATTTGCAAGTAATAAACCATGGACGATAAAGGTCACATACTTTTGACGTTCTGGAAGCCTTAATGACATGAACCAAATATAAATGACATGATATGCCATGACCCTTTCATATTGTGATAAAGCATTGGTACTTTGAGAACTACTTGAACTTGCTGATGTTGTAGAACTTGAAGACGTATTTGGTTGAGATGTCGTATTATTGTTACTACCGTTGGGAGAAGAACTTGATGAAACTGTCTGGCTGTATTGTATATATTGCATGGCAATTCCAAATACACGCTTGTAATCAGCTTCCGTAAAATTTACATAAAGATGTGGAAGCCTTGCTAATCCAGAGAGAAATTCAAGAATATGAACGCTCATTGTTGCCGTTGTTATAATCTGTGATAATTTATTTAGAGTGTCTGGAAGAAGCTTTGTAGATGAAAGAGGTAGTTCAAATAAGCATATATTAAGTGCATGAATACAGGGCTTTGCGGTACGAGCCCATTTATGTAAACCAACGTGAAAAGCCAAAACTAGTTCATCTCGTTGTGATTTATTAAATAAGTCGCGATAACTGATAAGAACAGTTAAAGTTTGGTAAACTACCGCATAAATATCCATCTTCTTGATATCATTCGGTAATGACATGCCTTCGGCAAATCGACTATTCGAAATCCAATCACATAAACAACTTCTTAAAGTACGAATTTGTTCATAGGATGCGCAGAATAAATGTTTCTTGCTCAATTGTATTGGGAGAAAACACAAAACATAAGAATAAATCTCCCAATCCTTTTCTTTAGTGAGAATGTCAATTAGGCATTGTAAATATAAATTGATTGGCAGGAATATCGCACCAGTTAAATCCGATTTCAAATTGCCATAATTTTGGACGAAAATCTCTTGATTAGCATTGATTTTGTTCTTTGATAACTTATCATAACAAAGTACGTATGGACTTGGACGTAAAGCTGTGAGCTTACATCGTAAAATTTCAGGAATTTGCCAAAGACGTTCCAACGGGGTAATGATTTCTTCCTCGGGGATATTGTTATTATCTAATTGAAGAGGAGTGGACTTACTATTATTATCCCTTCGATCAAGTAGTATTGAAGCCACGTCTTTCAAACTAGATCTTCGCTCCATCTTTTTTTTAAAATTAGTTTTACGTTCAACCCCTAAACCAGTAGAACTCGTACCATTTATAGATTTTTCTGAATTTATTGGAGAATTATTCTCTATAATAGATTTATTCCGATGTAAAATATAAGCCCCACTCACAACATCAACGTCCTCTATGAAATAAATTCTATGATCATTATCAGCTCTCATACGAGCAAATAATTGTAACAATGTAAGACGACAAATCACGGGAGTTGAAAAATCACCGAGGAGATTTATCATTTCTTCAAATACTTGTACACTTTGTGCAGGTGAATCAACTTTATACAAGCAATGCTGAAATATGCTGGTAAGGCCATTAATTGAAATTGAACTTTTACATCCCGCCAGATGACATGTGCGCTGTTGACAAACGCAAGGAACGCATTGTACTAGAATTTTGAGCAAAGGTTTAAACCAATGATCCGATACCTCTTTTAATACAGAAACTAAAAAGTCCATAGAATTATTTATAACTTCAATGTCATTATCCCTAGGGAAATACATAAACATTGGTAATATAACAGCTTCAAGAAGTTTATCCAGATAAAAATCTTTTGTAATTTCATAAACATCAATCGTCATAGAGAGTACGCGTTGACGTATCCTTGAAGGAACTCTAGCAATGTAAAATGTGTTCACCACATCAACTAATAATGCAAGCCAATCCGGAGAGGATGGATAAAGCGAATGTTCAGAATCATAATAATCAAGCAACATTAAAATGGTATTTTCAGAAACATAATCCCTTAGTGCCTGAATGAGAGCAATGAATCGTAAGGTTGGACCTTCGAAAGAAGATAACATGTGCAGAGATTGTATTTGAAATATTATCCTACTATAAGCATTAACCACCGTTGATGCCCCATCATTATCAACTGAATTTATATTTGTAGAATTATCGGATATTATTGTATTTCTTCCTGATAAAGGACCATTATCTAACAAATGATATTTGGTGTTATCCAAAATATCTATTATAATTTCCCACTCCAATGAGGTAATGTTCTTTTCATCTTTTGCGATAAGATCATTGATTTGTATTAAAATTTCACAATGAACATCGACGTCATCACAATTATTTATGGCCTGTCTCATTGCAGAAAGGACAGTGGAATAAGTATGTGAAAGAGAGTCAATCCCTTCCGGTCCCCAAATTGCCCATCCTAAAAATAGAACAGAACCACGCAAGATCTGCGGAGATTTTACAGATTCACTATTCTCCAAATTACTGCATAGAATCTTGATTGTGCTATATGCACAATGACTCTTTAAAAGATTCCGCATAATATGCCAACATTTTTGTGAAATTGAACCTTCTTGGTTAAGCTTATCGCATAGTACATCAACATATGATTTCAATGAAATTATTGGCACATAACCATAACGTACAACCACATCCCAAAAGCTCAGACAACATTCAATATCTGGAACGTCCTTAGATTTCTTACAAGCGATTGCTATATCTTCAATGAGCCGAGAAATATCAGATTCCTCAAATTGTGCGAAATGGAATTTGATCACATTTATTAATAAATTAACCACTGATTGTAACCTTGTAGATTCGAAATTTTGTTGTATAGTCATATCAGAAGTTGATGATTCTGTTGTCGTACTAGATGATGATGATGATATCGTTAATGAAGATGAAAAATGATGTGAAGAATTTAGACCATCTTGTGATGAAGTTGTGGAAGATAATGATAATGGAGGAATAATTTTCGCCTGTTCATTTTGATGAATACTTGTTGATTGATCGTCCAATTGTTGTACTGTTTCATTGACCCATTCTGAAAGCAATTTTACTAAATTTTTTTCGAAAGAAGAAATATCTCTTCCATCATTACAAAGTTCTTTTAAAGCTAATAATCTAATCTCAAAATCCTCTTTAATATTATGAGATTTGATACAATCATAAAATATTATTCTAAGAAACCCTAAATTATCACGATGTTGACTTTTAATACAAGCTATCATGAACTGAAAAGCAACATTTCTCGCATCAAATGGCCTATCAGGAGAAAGAAGTTCGTTAATACAAAACCAAACTTCAGTCATATCTGAGAAAGTGTATTGTGTCACTATGTTACATAATTCTCCAACAAGTTTAATGAGCGTGAGTAAAGGATATGGTTTTTGTAGTTCTTGTACAAGAAGTTTAGTATCTATAGGTTTTCCTTTCTTGAGATTATTAGAAGGTTGTGTTGGTGGCTGAGCGTCTTCACCATTTATCTCACTAGATTCCGCAAGAGGAGCTAAACCTAAAGTATCTACAATAGAAACATCTGTCTGTGGACGTGAAGCAGCACCACCAAAAACTACACGTAAAAAAGAAGCACGTTTAGGAACTTTTGTTTCGTGGGAGTGTGCCATTGTTAAATAATGTTCATATTGCTTAAAAATTATAAACAAGGTGGCGTTTTGGTTCTTTTATCAGGATTTGTTCAAGTCACGTGAATCGTAAGCTTGATATAAAATCACGTGAATGTGTAAGGGTATCTTGCATTGATCTTAAAGATCTAAAAAGATGCAGTTCATCATCATACAGTAGAAAGAGAATATAATCTTTTGCCGAATGACGTAACAAATCTTTTAATTTAAAATCTCTTTTTAGTACATTTTCGTTACCAAAAAAAAAAAAAACTTGTAATGTTAGATGACTTTGATCAAAAGAACAAAAACATTGGGAATTTATTATTTATGTACAAAAACATGTCCAAGAATTCAAGCTATCTAATTTTTTCTCCCCCCTAAAAACATCCAGTGTTTTTATCTATCTTTTTACAAATAGGAAGAAAGAGATCTAATTTTGAATCCACCAATATATACATTTTTTATTATTCAATTATGATTATTTGTTATAAAGGTGCAAATATGCAAATATATATATATATATATATATATATATATAATAATAATAATAATAAAAATACTTTTATGAAACATTAAAGTCCTTTAAGTTTATGAAATATCAAAAGTCCTTTAAGAAATATTTTAAAGAAAAAAAAAATCTTAAACAAATAATTATAAATATATATGTATCAAATAGATATATATATAGTTATTCTGAATAGGTTTGCTTAAATCCCTTCAATAATATTCTATATGATAGTAAATATAGTAATTTTAGATATAATAATTCGTGGAAGGATCCTAAATATACAAAGAGTGCATTAATTCCTAAAACTTCAGGAGGAATAAAATCTTTTCTTAAATATATATATATATATATGATTTGTTTCTTTTTCAGTCTCCTCAAAGATTAACGTTTGACCTTTTTATCCTTTTTCTTCATGCGTCGTTGATGTTCTAAACGTTCTTCCTCCTCGTCTTCTTGTTTTGCGAGGCGGGAACTGCGCGCTTCCTCACGCAATACTTGCAACCCAGATACCTCCATTATGTCATCATCGTTGTCGTCTGTAATCCCATAAATGGGCTGTCTTCCTGGACGAATTAATGAATGGATGATTGAGGACATGTTCTGTTTAACCGTTGCTTCATCCAATTCATCAATATTGAATCTATCCCCAGTATTCCTTCTTTTAGCTCGAGAAGAGGAGGTAGCCTCCGAACGTTCATCAAACTTTCTCTTCTTGTGTGCTGCCAAAGCCGTATTCCCATTTGTAATTCTTTTTTTGTGAACATTATTATGACCTGTGCGTAAGGTATCCGCTACTCGCTTATATCGACCTTCTGTTTCAGCAGACGCTTTTTGTCTGCGAGCCCGTTCCTTTTCTACTTCCAGTTTTCTTCTTGATTCTGTAAGATGTTCTTGACGTCTTTTCGCGTCTACAACTTTCTCTTGAAAACGTCTTTTCTCTGCCGATCTCTTTTCCATTTTCCTTCCTTCCGTAACCTTTTCTTTCCGCTGCAAATCACGTTCCCATGCTTCTCCAGCCCTTTTCTTTTCCAACAAGTGCTTTTCTATATCTCTACGCTGTAACCCTTTTTCTTGGGTCTTCCTTCTTTGTTGTTCTTGAAATTGTTCGAGACCTTTTTTCAAATAATTAGGATTCTCAATGACGTCTAACGGGGTCACTTTATTTTTAAAGATTTTTTTTTCATTAAGGAAAGTTATATGAGCGTGGATTTGCTCATCTTTTTTAGGACCTTTTTCATTCCTGAAGGCTGCAATTTCCAATCGTGTATTGAGATGTTCAATTCTCTTATGAGCAAGTTTTTTATCAACGTCTGACTTTTCCTTATCTTGCTCTAAAAGCCTTCGAAGTCTCTCCAATTCATATTCTCTTGCAATTTGTTCCACGGCAAGCCTATAATTCTTATCTTTTAAAATCTCTGGAGGCAAAAATAATTCCAAAGGTCTATATTTCCCTTCTTTTTCTCGTGATAACTTCCATTTCTCAACGTACATTTGCAATTTTGGTATCGACTTGATTGCATCTTTATTACTAGACCTTGATGATGTTCTTGTCTTTTCTTGTTTAATAGCAAATTGCTTAGTATGCAAATTATCATTAGAATCTTTTGAAGATGTTACCTTTCCTTGATAAACAGCTTGTTTGCCCTTGTTATTATGCAAATTGCCTCCAATACTTTTTGAAACGGGTGTCAAAGATGTTTGCTTTTCCAGATGGAAGGGAATAGATTGCTTCACTTTATTTGAAATCAAATTCCCGCCAATACCTTTTGAAATTGACTTGCCCTTGTTAATGACAGCAGAAATTCCTGTGATACCTTTTGGTATAGATGAAGAGGATTTTGACTTTTCTTGCTTCACGGCTTGCTTCTCTTTGTTAACAGGCAGACTTCCAATAGCACTTTTTAATTTTGACGTCGCAGTGGCGATTGTCCTTTCTTTCTTAACTGCAGCTTTCTTTTCCTCATCATAAATCGTCGTCACATTACCACTAGCTTTAGAAGTCGATATAGTGGCTGATTGTCTTTTCTGATTTGCTACTCCGTTTTTACACTTGTTGACGGATACATCGCCACCAGTATTCAATGTAGACGTCTTAGTTGTTGGAATCTCCTGTTTTGCTATTCCTTTAACAAAAAGTTTGCAATTTGAAAACAATAAAAGTATTATTTCCGCTGAAGTGGTTAAGCTTTTTGCAGTAAAAATTTTAAACTTACCAGAAGCTAACTCGGATTCCATACGCTGACGGACCTTTTTCTTCAGTTCTTCGAGGCCCATAGTGTCACCTACAGACTCAAGCTGCCTCTTTTCGATGAATTCCTTCATATTAAATTTGAGTGGTTCCTCCAAGGAAACTCTAGCAGATGAGCTCGAAATTTTGTCTAGACTAGTCGTTAAAGTTTGGTCGGAGGTTGGTTTAACGTTGTCATTTTGTGACGACATTATGTAGGGTATAGGGAGGATTTTTTTTTTTTCTTTTTAAATAAAAAAAAGTGCGTTGTTACTGCGTGTTGTTACAATTTGAGTTGTCTTGAAGAAGTTCTACCAAGCTGAGATAATCGTTAAAAAAAAAAATTTTTTTTTTCGACTTTTTTATACACATACGTTACTGCGGTAAGGTGAACCCCTGAATCGTTTTGAAGAAAAATTATTTGTAAAGCAAGAAAGATAGCAAAAAGAACAAAAAAAAAAAAAAAAAAAAAAATTTCAAACTCTAAACTTGGAATGTAACTCCGCATGTTGATAAATTGACATCAACCCCTCTACCGCAGTATGAAAGACAAATGCAATAATTCTATAATTTTTGACCTTCACTTAAAAGACGCTTAATAAATAGTTGAAGAGCGACCCAAATGGATGCATTGACTTAATGTTCAATGAACGGAAAGTTCTCAAAGACTTATACTAGAGTAAATCGGAAAAGGGAAAAATACGGAAAATTCCAATTTTTTACTTTCGGTATTTCTGCAATCTCCCATGCAAAAGAACCACGGAATATTGCAAATCTTTACCTTTAATGGATGGACTTTACGAAAGGTCCATGTGATCATCAGATTAAAATGGCGCAGAAAAACGCATATTAATACTTCAAAAAATTCATTTTCGTCCGATAAGGTCGAAGGTGAAATCAACATTGTAAATAGTAATGTCAATGTAAAAACCTCTTTTGAGCAATTGCAATTGTAAATTCCAATCGTTTTATTTTCAGTGAACGAATCGACATGAAATCGACTATTAAATTCATCCAAGTTTACAGAATTTATGCGCATTGGAATGGTTATGAATAAACCTTTTATTCATTACGCATATTGAATTTGTCTTTTGTTGCAGATTATTTAAAAGTTGAAAGGTACGCACGATTATTGATAAAGCCACATATGATAATTTGGCCGTGGAATTTGCAACTTCAAAAGTTTAATAGTCTGGACTGGATAACCGGATAATTATGAATAGGCTCATAAGTTCGTAATTAACTGTAAGTTTATAATTGATATATAAAACTGATTAATAGGAATCTATAAAATAAGATGCTTCATTTAATGTTATTAATATTAGAAACTTCTTTACTTCTTTTGATATATTATAATTAGTTTTTTATTGCAACGATATTATTATTAACTTTAATCATGTTGAGACTGGAAGACCGATTATTTGATGGTTGCATGATACTAGAATAATCATTGAATTTAAAGGAGTTTCGAGTTTAATGTTCGTTGAAGAATTATAAAACTTTTTTTATTCGCTTATTGATGCCAAAGAACATTGGCATTGGATTTGACTTTATTCTTCTTTTATTCAAAAGACCTAATCAATAACATGGAATCTAATTTGAAGTGCATTTCACGTGATTCAACTTTAGTACATTAAAGATCAATTACATAATCATTCAAAAACCGAGTCGTCTCCGAGTCAAAAAAATATGATTAATGGTTATTGCAAAGTCGTGGATCATCGGAACTTCGAAAGGTCAGGTCACAAGGCAAAGTATTAATAAAATTAAATTTGGTAATTATTTTGGGAGGGGACGAAAATGAATCAAGGGCAAAAGTTTTTTATGTAAAGTAGATTGTGGGGTAAATATGCATTTCACACATCGCAAAATTGAATTGGTTTCAAAAAAAAAAAAAATATTATTATTAATATATATATATATATATATTATAGTACATCGTTAGATTAAAATTCACAAGGATGAAACCATTTGGAAACGCGAATTATATAATTTCATATGAGACCAATTATGAATTCTAGTAAGATGCGTAGTATAAAATAATCTAAATTTGTATGTTTATCCCGAGATTAAATGATCAGCAGTAAATTAAATGATTAACATAAGATCATCAGTTTCATACTATGAGATAAGCAAGAAGGATAAGATTATCAATCATGTAAATTTTTAAAATTTATCCAATTATAGAATAAGATAAGCGTAATGAAATTAGAATTAAATATTTCATAAAAATTCTTTATTAAGGATAAAATAAAAGTATTAAATTTGATATCGATATTGTTAAATGATTATATAATATTACTATATATAAAATATATTAATAAGAATTAAAGATTTAAAAATTTTCTAAAATTATAAATAATATATTTAATAAATTACATTATATTTAAAATATTTATATTATAAGAAATTATATCCACCATCCCGGATAATTTTATTAAATATCATTCCTTATACATAACCCTAATCCTAATTCTAATTCTTATATATATAATCCTAATCCTAATCTAATATTAAATTATTAAATTTAAAGAATTTATAAAAAAATTAAAAAATTGTAATTATATTTATATTCCTTTAAAGATTTAATAAATTAAAAAAAATTTAATATAAAAAATTTGATAAAAAAAAAGAAATTACTTTTATAGATAATTTTTAATACTTCTTAAAAATCTCTTATATTATCTATTTTTATTTAAATTATATAGAAAATTACTATATATTATTAGTGTCACATGTTTATATGTTTATATTGCATATGTTATTTGTCTTAAATATTACTGATTATAAGGTAACAAAAAACTTCAATTATTATTAGTTGATTTTTAATACTGATAATGATCACCACCAGTGATAAATATTAAACTCCAATATATATATCTTTATATATTTAAAAAATTAAAATTAATATACATTTAAACAAAATATATTATAATATATGTATTTAAATAATATTAATAATAATTAAATATTTTTTAAAATATTTAATAAGATGATAAATTTTATTTAAATACATATATTATAATATTTATAAAATAATAATTTTATAAAAGATTATACCTATTAAATAAGTTTTTTTGTATATTATTCTATTATAAAATTATTATTTAAAATTTTTTTAAAATACTAATATATTAAAAGTTGATAATAAAAACTAGATAATAGTTTTGAAATATATTATTAAGTCCAGAACATATAATGAAAATGATTAATCATATTAATATAAGTTTTAAGCAGATAAATATTATAATATATAATTTAAATAATAAAATATTATAAACTTTTTACTATATTCTAGATTAATAATTAGTTTCAAAAATATTTAAGATATTTATATATATAAAAAATAAATATTTTTGCTATTATAAATACTTTAATTAATATTTTAAAGTTATCATAATTATTAATTTTAATGATTTAATATAAATATTGATATTAGTTTAAATAAAACTTTCTTTAATTTTTATATTTGATTAGAATATTCTTCTAATAATATATAAAACATTACATAATTATTATTTTAATAATATGATTTTTAACTTATAAAATATAATAATTATTTGTTTATTTAAATCATGTTTAATATAATATCTAGTATATTAAAAAATTATATTAAAATTAAAATTTGATGTATTACATATTTTTATAAAAAATTATATAAAAAATTAATATACTGTATATATTAAAATCATATATATAATATGCTTATGCAAAAAATATATAAATTGTAAAATAATAATAATAAAAAAAAATTATCATATAGTATAATTAACTCTATATACTTTCTTTTTTTATTATCAGTTATAATATATTTTTTTTATTGAAATTATGAATATAACACCAAAATTAGGTTTATTTTATTAACAAATTCCCTTTACTAATCCTTATTAATCGATTTAATAAAATTCTCGCGAAACATTATAATATTCAGAAGTCTACATTTAAGATCAAAAAATTTTTAACCACACATGAAAAACAAAAATGTAACTGCGGGAAAATTAAAAAATATGTTCCGCTTTTTTAAAAATTTTTTTGGACGGAATCACTTTTATTTTGAGATTAAATTACTAAATTGTATATATACTAATTAAATTAAAAAGAAATATGTGTATATGTTGGTTTAAAAAATAAAATAAAAATATTTCTTGTTTAATAAATATTATTATCAAGTCGACAAAATTTTTTTTTTTAGAATCTTTTTACTTTTTTACTTTATTCTTTTTTTTTTATCTTTTTTTTTTTTTAAAAAAAAAAAGTAATTGTTAATGTTAAAAGAAAAATTCCATTAAAAGTTGTTTTCTCGTGAATAATAAAACTAAAAGAAAAAAAAAAGAAAGTGTTATTATTAAAGAATTTAATTGTTATATAATTAAAATGTGATAAATGTCGATAAAATGTGTAATTCATTGGTTTTTTCTTTTTTCTTATAAAAAAAAAGCGCAAAAGAAAATATAAAAGAAATATACATACCAAGGGAAAAAACTATATATAAGGAAAAAAAAAGAGTAAAAAAATATATATATAGAAATAACAGACAAGAAAAAAGAAAGGGGTGCGTTTTTTTTTTTTAAAAAAAAAAAAAGAAAAACCAAATTGTTTCGGGATATTGTGAAATAATTGTCGTCATTCGTAAATAAACTTTTTTTTTAAAAAAAAAAAATATTACTCTCGAATGTGTATGCTATTATATGGTAATGTAAAAAAATATTACATGTAGAAAAAAAATATATTAATGAATACAAAAAAAAATTTGGGGTTACTCTGGTGGTTGTGATGAAAATTTGTTCTGAATGGATTTCTTTTCTCTTGTTTCTTAAACAAAATTCTTTTTTTGATCCTCTCCTCTTTGAATATCATTCATTTGTTGTACTGTAAAAGAAAATATCAAATCTAGGCCACCGTATATGATAAAATATGTAAACAACCAAAAGGGGGGCTCGAATGAATATAATAAAAAAATGAGAATGGAAAAATAAAATAAAATAAAATAATCATCTTCTATCATAGATATTCCATAAAAAATACATATTACATAGAACACAATTCTTAAACTAAATTTCCGTTGATTTCGCTTCTCTGATTATATCTTCCACTTCTAAAACTTCCATCATCTGATGATAATTGGCGATACCTTACGCCATCACTACCATACCTGCCGGAATAGATACTCCGACGTGATTTCTTTCGAGGTTCCGCATCACGCCAAATACACCATTGTAAAAATATTGTGACGTCAAACATTAACGTTCCAACAGATCCTAATATAAAAGGAAATGCTTCACGTAAATATGATTCCGATTTTGACGGATTGGTGAAGATGGATAGGGTATAGTTCAAATTGCCAAGGGCCGCAAATATAAACATAAAAACTGAAAGTCCCTCAACCGATGATCTTGTGTACTATAAAGATTATTTTTAAAAAAAAAGTTAAAGGAATTATAATAATAATAATAATAATCAAATCCTATTAAAAATTATTAATGTACATTTTTCCATATTTGTGGCATTCTGCTGGTCAAATAGAATAATGAACATGTCCAAGCCATAACTCTCCCTATGAAAATTACATTATGCTCGGATAATAATTTTGCATTTCCACGCAATGTTGTTTCTTGGGATCCGATTTCGTCATGTATAGTGGAAAAACGTGAAGTGGAGAAGGAAGACGATATAGAAGTGGTGGAATGAAATGTGAAGAGAAGAACAGCAAATACTACCGACGGTCTAATATTTTTTTTGAAAAATAAAATGATCAATTAAAATTCACGTGATCAGAAAATGTACATTTAATATAAGTTCTTACATTCGTTTATACGATTGTTTCTTCCTTGTAGGAAACGTGTAACTCTTTTTCGCACCTTCCAATATAGAGTCTTTTAATAGTAGCATGGATAATCGTCGATCTGGTAATGGAACCTCTTCGGACTCGCTTTGTATTGCTGTTGAAGGCCACATATAATAAAAATATTGGAAAAATAGAATAAAATCTATGAAACAAAAATATACGGCAAGGTAAATCTATAAAGAAATATAAAATAAATAAATTAATTTAAATTTAAAAAAAAAATTTAAATAAATGCTATATGATATGTTCGTATTACCTGAAATTTTAATTGGTTTGTCAGTATACATCCTAATAAATTGGCAATATCGCCTAGTAACCAATTTGTGAGAAATGGTAAACTAAGCCCATCAGCTGAGCGATTTCGATAATTTGTTAGGACTTGTCTAAAAAGAAACTTGTGTTAGTAACTTGAGTCAGTAGGAACTGGAAAAGATAAAAAAATGTGAAACGTACGGAAATTGGGCGTTCAACCAACATGCTATACATAAATATCCTATGTTGGAACAAAAAAAAGTTAGATTCAAGACAAATGTTAACTAAATTACCGGGATAAGGTCTGATAACCTACCGAATATATCACTGACTAATGCTTCTTGGTTGCTATACACACAAAAACCAAATACTGAATGTATCCACCTTATGTATTGCATTCCATCGCGTGATATTGGATTACAACTACCCGACATTATACTATTTAAATGGGCAAAGTTTTTCGTTATCTATTCTTCCGTGTTCCCTTGTTAATTATTTAGCTCGAATATATCGATATCGTTTTTTTTACAGACTCGTTAAACAAAAGGAAGGATGGTGACCGAGACAAAAGTCATTAAAAGTAACCACGCATAGAGGAGAGGACAAAATAAAAAAAAATAAAAAAAAGCAAAAAAAAAAAAGAAAAAAAAAAAAAAGAAAATCTTTTTAAATAGGGAAAAAAAGTTGAGGGGGAACTAGCAAATAAATAATGTGTGATATCGGAAAGGAATCGATATATCAGAAATGATAAACAGAAAAGGTTTCCCAATTTCCCAAATAGAATAAGGATAAGGCTTGTTGAATTATAGATTATATTAAAAAAAAAAAAAAAAATTTTTTTTTTAATGTATTATATAATGTTGTAATAAAAAATCACAAGGAAATTTTTTTTTTGTTTAGTCACAGTTGAATTCGAACTAGTGTTTATATGTGTTTTTAACATCATTTATTGTTACTATTTATACCCATAAATAAAAAATTTTTTTCTCCTTATGTCCAGCTGACTTTAAATATTTCAAGTTTATTACAATATTAATTATATATACAATAAGTTCGTAATATGAGAGGATGAAGTTTAATTTTTTTTTAGATCTAATAGAGGAATGCATTATGATTTATAACTAATAGATAGATCTCACGATAATGAATCATTTGATAATATCTGTCAAGTGACCAATTGTTATAAAATCATATTAGGTGCATAATAGAGATCACGAGTTTTCAAGCGAAAGAAATGAAAAGATGAATCAATTTGCTTAAAAATATTTCTTCCTCCTTACTGGCGTGTAACAATGCACAGATCTCAAAGCCACATATTTCATGAAAGTATGCTCGTTCGTTCATTTTTTCATCCCTTTCAATTTCTTATGAAAATTTTTAGCCATGTTTACAAATAATGGTTTTATACCATTTCTTGTTTCGTGATTGATAACAATTCCGGATTGCTATCATAATCGAATCGATTTATTTTTTGCCTATTTAAAAAAAATCAACAGCCTTTCTTGATCACGAATAGTCACAAGGGGGAAAGGATATCATTGACAAGACGTGTTGTCGTAAGAAATTTTTTTTATATAGTTAACCGGTAATTTGTAATTTTTATTTAATGCGTCAACGTGCCGCTTTGTTGACACCACGTGGTGGCAGAGAATAATGCGCATATATGTATCTGCAATTTACATTTTTTAATTTACTTATATCTGCGCAAATATGTATGTTCAAGTCATTCACATGAAATGCAAGTTTTGTTTAATGAATTGATTAGGACAAAATGTTGTAAAAAAAACCCTTGCATTTTTGTTTTTTTTTTTTTTTTCTTCTTTTCTCTTTTTTCTTTTTTATTTTCCTCATTAAATTGATTTCAGAACTGTTATCGTGAAATCTAACATGCTATCAAGCCAGTTATTTCCCAGTATCCAAACTTGACATATCTGAAATATAAATCTGAGAATAAACCTGTATTTTTTGAAAAATTGGAGTATTTTCCAAAATTTGAATTCGAGACCGATGTTTGGACAAGATGACCCAACGATAATTCGGAAGCAAGAACATATGAAGCATAAAAAAAAATACCTCTCATCGAAACACTAAACCCCATATGATCATTCACCAAAAAAAAGAGTTTTTTTTTTTTTTTTTTTTTTGAAGAATTAAATAAAATAAAATGCAAAGGATTTAAAATATATATCACGTGCCTATCTTATAAAAGTATTTATTATCGATAACCACTGATGACATTTCACTAAAAGGTATACAATCTATTTTGGGCAATAAGATCATTATCTACAGTCACGTAGATTTAGAGATAAAGAGATATTTCTTCCTAAAATTTCCGAAATAAAACCCTCATCGATAACGGAAAAAAAACCAATAAATTTGTGCCAAAGAAGGATTGATCCACAACTAGTTTCCGCCATTAAATTTATTTAATCATAATTTTTAAACACTTCAGGAGACATAATTAATTTTTATCGTTACACGACATATACTTGATTTATTGAATAAAATACCAATTATCAAACATATAAGTTTATTTATTATGTTGCAGTATAACCAATTTTTACTTGTAAATCATAATATTATTAACTTTGATTTTCTTAATAATATTAAAATAAATTATATGAAATATAAAATATAAAAATTTATTGCAAGTGAGAGCTTTAAATTATACACCTACTCCGAAGTTATCTTGCTCTGATTTTGCTTTATTTTTAAGATGTATATTGACAGAAGGCGATTGAGCTAGATAGTCAATTCGCTCTTTGTAAAATCTATTGAATGCTGGTTTGTCTTTAGACTTAAATTTTAAATTTATTGTGTTTTTGCTTGAGACAATCATATAGATCGATGCTTTTCGAAATATTTTTTGCGATTCCAGTATGTAACTATCAAAGATTTGACCATTGTTTCTCGGTAAATTATCGTCCATATTTGACATAGAAAACATGATACTATTTTGACGCGTCACTGATGTGGCTGAATATCATATGAAGCATATTATTGGTTAAACATCATGCGAACGTCGACTGTATTATTTGAATTTGCTTTGTAGAATTAATGGTTCTTTCAGACCTGTGGCTGTCATCATTTGACCATGACCAACTTTTCTAAAAGAGAAGGAATCTCACGTGAAGGTGTTTAGTAAAGGATCTAGTGAGCACATAATAATTATTATCCTCGTTCATCCTTTTACTAATGACAGCCAGACCGTACTTCCAAGACATAGTTCTAGTTAATAGAATTCTCTTGGCAGTGCGTTTGACAATAGGACTACATGACTGGCAAAACTGCAATCTCATGTCTCCTATACTGTCAGTTCCAAGGGTTATTGTGTTATTCAAAAGCTATTTTAGAACATTTCGGTAAATTATACGCAGATAATTGGTACGAAAAAATAAAATACCAAATACCATTTTCTCTATATGCGAGTCGAATAAGAGGTATATTCAGTAACGTCAAGTTATTTCTTTATTCTTTTAAATTTCGGTAAAATTCCATACTAATTTTTTCTTTCCTATCACTATTGCTATTCCCACATCACATCCTTTTATACAAACAATATTCACAAAATTTCACCACTTTCACCGGCATGAGCGTAAATTCGAGAGATTAGAAATGATGTGAAAAAATCAGCAATATAATTAACTAATTCACACTCACTACTATGACTAAGCTGTCTCATTCAAGAAATTTTACAAATATTATATTACAGGCTGTGTCATATGATAAGTGTAACTGTAAAGATTCTTCACAATCAAATTGGACTCGAGAACATTTAGATGCTTATATATTCCTCTTTATACTTTTTAAAATACAGATGTGAGTGATGATCGCATTCTTCACAAACCTTACAACCATGCTTCCATCCCCTAAATATATGCCATTTGTCATTTCTATCCTCTCGATCTACAGGAGTCCTAATAGCTTTTCCTGATAGCATATCCTGTTGATTTTCTTTTTTTTCGAATGCATAAGAAAAAAAAAGTTTAATAAAATCAAAATTTTTTTCATGTACAATATAAACTAGAAATAGCTAAGTCTAGAGCGATCTTAACTATAAAATATTTGATGGTTCTTTGCTACGCTCTGGACTAATTAATAAGCAGAAAAATAAAGATTGAATGCATTACCTGTCATGTCATATGATAATTATGAAGACTCTTCACACTTCCAACCTTTAGAGTAGGATTGGTCAAAAGAAATCAACTTTAGTTGCATAGTAAAGTTGTTTAGTGAGTTCACAAATGTATGCTTCTAAAATTTTATTATGATTTGATTAATGATTATAAAGTTATGCATGTTTTTCATAATTTTATTATCTCACGAATTTTTTATTTTTATTTTTTATCTGTACATTGACTTTAAAGCGCAATTTAAGTATTTGATCAAAGGAAATCAATTTTGATCATGTATGTAAAGTTGTTTAGCAGTTCAAAAATATATATAAATAAAATTTTATTATTATCGGATTAATGGTTGTATAGTTATAAATGTTTTTCATAATTATATTAGCAGTCATCTGATTTGCAATTAAAATAATTAGAGTTATGATAGATATTATCTAATATCATGTTAATATAAGTGTCTACCCCTCCTCCTCTAGATAAGATATGCTGCAAAGTCACGTGATATGTCTAATAAAATAAAGTTAATAAAGTGACCAAAAAAAATGTTTATTATTTATATTTTGCGAAAAGTTTATTATATTTCACAAAAACATCTGAAACTTAAACACTGGTCGAAATGGATACAAATTGGCTAAAAATTGGATGGATGATTGATGAATGATTGATGACTGATTTAGGGCCGATTTACATTGATTCTGATTGATACAATATGAGTCAATTGGAAATATCAATCAGTTATCAATTAGCTATCTAAAATTAGCCTAAAAACTACTTAAATTTGATTATCAATCAACCTAAATCAGCCTAAATCAGCTAAACAAATTGGAATTAATAATAACTACCATATATTGTGGGTCATAGTATCCTGGATATCTTGCAAATTTCGGAGATTAACCTTGTACTACCAAGTTTATAACTTTATAAATACAGAAATAGAATATGTTAAAGACTTGTATAACTATCAAAAAATTGTTTAATACATAATTTCTGATTAAAATTAGATTTCTAAATAATAAAAACAATAGAAAATGTAAAATTTTTCAGGTAAAAAAAGGGGAAATACAATATAAAGGGGATACTATAGCCCGCAATATACGGTAATTTATATTTATTTAAATTTTATTAATTTTATAATTTTATAATTTTATTATTTTTATATAATTATTAAATGTGAT